TTCGAAGCAGACATACCGATCATATAACTTGCTCTAAATCATTATAAAACTGGAAATGGGAAATTTGGAAAAAAAAAAAATCGTAGACACTTCCATAATTCACTTTGAAGGATGTGTCCAGTTGAGTCAAGTAAATGTCCAATTTATCCTGATGTTCACCAAAAGTTGGGGTGCAGAGTCTCGTAGCCAGCCAGTGGCCATGAACATTGGCATTTTGAGGTGGACGCTACATTTATCGACCGAGAATCTCAGCATCACCAGATCACCTCTGCTCGTGGCTAGGGCAGCGAAAGTTGGTAACTTTAATTCCATCTTTGTCACCACTGTTGTAGTGAGCGACAGCACTTGGCAAGGAACAGATGCAGAGCAGCTTTATTTGGCAAACAACAAAATACATGACACAAGACAAAGACAGCACGACATATTGGACAGATGTTGGCACCGCACATCTTATCACATGGTACTGACTCCTATAATGAGAACTTAGCAATGAGTAAAGTTATATTTTCCGTGAAGAGAATTCTAGGTAGCTACTGACTCCTAATGAGAACTTAGCAATGAGGAAAATTATATTTTGCGTGAAGAGCGTTCTAGGTGACAGAGTCGTCACATGGTAGAGTAGGGCAGTGAGAAGTAACGCACAGGAATGTACCCGAATTAATGCTTTATCAGCAACTCATTGGCCTCTTCTTTTTTTAAGACATATCCCAACTGCTCATTGCTGTCCAGTACAGTTATCTTCCCCGGGAAGAAAGAAGCTATCCCGGCGACTTATGGGTAGCAAGCACAGGCAGATCATAGTAACACTTTAAACGTTCAGCATGCACAGTATCATGCTTCTGATGGCCCTTGTCTGAAGGTGCTTCTAAGGGTTCAACAGTATAATTCACGGGAGACATTTGCTTTACCACACAGTATGGACCCTGCTATTTCAAAACAAATTTTTGTGACAATCCAAGGCTTGTGGCAGATGCCCCAAGCCATACTAGCAAGCCAGGATCATAAGATGCAGGGGCGACCGCAGGATCTCGGCGGTGCTTTTGACGTTGCTGGTCCTCAAATATGAACATGCGGGAAAGCTTGCGGCATGCTTTTGCGTGAGCAGCTTCAGAAAGGGATGGATGTTTCGTGGCATCAGGGCTACATGAAAAAATAGTGTCCATGGTGGAGGATGGCTCATACCCATAAAGTAGAAAGAAGAGAGAAAAGCTCGTGATGGCCTGCGTGGCAGTATTATGGGCATATGTGACAAATGGGAACACATGGTCCCAGTTGGTGTGGTCAGACGCGACATACATAGTCAACATGTCACCAAGAAGAGTTCAATTAAAATGTTCCATCATTCCATTACTCTGCGGATGACATGCACTTGTGGTGCGGTTTGTGAATTATACGGCATTTTTCGGCGAGAGCTTCAATGACGTCATGGAGAAACATTCGGCCTCTGTCACTGAGTAATTTTCTTGAGGCATCGTGGTACAGAATGACGTGGTGCAAGACAAACGAGGAAACAACACCTGCAGTAGCACGAGGTAAAGGTGAAGTTTCTGCATAACGTGTCAGATGGTCGATGACTTGAATCACCCATTGGTTGCCATCAGAGGTGCTCGGTAAAGTATCATAAAGATTGATTTTTACATGATCAAATACATGGGTTGGGTAAGGCAAAGGTTGCATTGGGGCAGTTGAACAGCGAGAAAGATCCTTGCCACGTTGGCATGCGACCCAGGAGTGTACACAGTGATTGACGAAGTGGCACTTGCCGTGCCAGTACTAGCGAAGGCGTAGGCGCTTGAAAGTTTTAAATACACCTGCATGCACGCATTGTGGCTCATCATGAAACGCCGCACAGATGTCCGAGTGGAGATGCCGAGCAACGACAAGCGACCTTTTTTGGCGGTTGTAAGATGATTGCTGCGGTTTAAAAGTCCATCATGAACAGAGTGTTGTGCGTGGCGATGCAATGCCTGGCTGAACATAGAAACAATGCCTGGTTTAACATAGAAAGTTGAACATAGAAACAATTCATTGGTCCTTCTTCTGCTCGGAAAGCAAAAGCACGTTGGTAGCAGAGAGGGAGGACTGGGCTGGCGGTGTGTTAGGGGAATTGTTCTCATTAGTGGAAAGCGAGACAAGGTGCGTGCGTCGGGAGTGTTTTCTGCCGAAACGATAGACAAGCGATAGACGATAGACGTTATATTCTTGTAGCTGTAGTGCCCATCAAGCGAGACAACCTGAAGGCTCTTTTAAGGAAAAGAGCCAGCCTAGGGAATGGTGGTCCGTTATTATGTCTGTATAACTGTTTTTTTTTTTATCGGAACAAGCGTCTCTTTGTTACATTGCCTAGTCATTTAGACTGCAAAATATTGATTATTTATTTTTTGGGAGGCCATATTTGTCAAAAATTCAATGAAAAGTGGTAGTTACGCCAGCCAGAATAAGTGCCTAACGGGTGCCTGAATTCAGTAATGCATTGGCATTATCGTAACCGAAGGTTGGAGCTATGCAGTGAACTAGGATAGATAATATACAGTAAATATCAAGGAAGGTATGTTAAAGAACTCCTAAAGACAGAGAAAAAATGCCAATTTAGACTGAACTTGTTTGCAAAATTAGCTTGAATTAAAAAATAATTGATCAAACTCTTTTATCCTGGTTCACTGCACAGATAAATATATTGTACCGAATTTCAGTTCGAAACATACACTGAGAAAAAAAGTTATGAAAGTTGTCGTCACATGATTCTGAGCAAGCTCTTATTTTGAGGAAAACATAAACAAAGATTTCAGAGCGGGCACAAGATGTCATAAACTTCGCACAGAGTCCTGAAATGCACCAGGTTCATAGGTGGGTTCTTCTTGAATAGCATTCTGGTCTCCTTTTTTTCGTGTGACTGCTCTTCTTTTCTTTTTGGCCTTTTTCGTCCCATCTGCTGACTTGCGTTTGGCATTTTGCATGCACTTGTGATCTCTGACGATGCAAGCTTTCGTAGTGTAGTACCGTGGTTTTATGCCAGCTTGCCTCAGGATGTCTAGGGTGCTTACACTGTCATTATTGAAGTGTACAGCATCATGCAAGGCAAACATTACTGTAAGCAAGCTTACGTAGACCTCTTTGGGAGCCCGCTGCCATATCAAACCATTAAAGCATTCATTTGCATTTGGTGTCCTTCCATGCAAACATTTCATCGGATGTTCATCCGAGCTCAAATCACTGTACAAAGTTATAACTTTGTCGAGCACATCATTCAGAAATCCTCCTTTGTGCACATACTTTCCATGGTCGAGTGCTTCGACCCTTCTGTACCCACACCAGCTGTACGGTTCAAGTGGGCACAGACCATGTCTCGAATGCTTGTCGGTAGAGCTGCTATAAAAAAGACTGGCAAGGGTAGCCTGCTCTATTGCAGAAGAGTTGCCCACATTAGTTCTTATGGCAATGCCATAGTAGTTTTGCAGACAGCCAATGAGGGCATCAGTGAGCTTACCCCTACCCCTGAGACCGTGCACTGCCTTCCTCAGTTTGCTGAGGTGACAGCGAACACGCTTCTGGAGCTGCCCAATGCATTCCAGTTTGTGGAAACTGTCCTTTCTATACATGTATCTCACAGCGGCATAGCTTTTTGAATCACCATCACCGCAGAATTTCAGGTATTTCAAGCCTCTTTTTGGCTGCAACTTTTCAAATATTTGGTACAGACCAATTCTCTCTATACTGCCAGCACTTCCTTCATGGTTTGCTTAACAGGAAGTGTGCTTTGCCTGCTATTCCTGATAAGAAGCACATTCTGGCCTAAACTTCCTTTTAGTTTTACAAGATTTACACGAGCTATAAAGGGCCTCAACATCAATGGCTTTTTCCGTGTCAGCAGAAATCACAGACACGCATACCTTCAAAGATGAATGGCCACGCTTAAGCCATGTGCCATCATCTGAAAGGCCACACTCAGCACTGCCCACAACACGACGAAGCTCCACAGGAGCATCAGCCATAGATTTTGACGCAACTTCTTCTGCCGCTGCAGAAAGCCAAGATGAGAATTTGTCGTAAGCAGAGTGACATGAAAGAGTGGACATGTTCATGACTTTGGCAATCTTTTCACACCTACGTGCCCTTTTCCTAACTGGCGCATCGCGTAAACAAGACGAACATCATTTTCATTAGCACGTCCCACCTTTTAGATGGATTATATGAATGCTCGAACCCACAGTCAGTACATGCGATCGCACAAGTTTAACACATCTCTTGATGAAAGCATTCCTCGAGCTTCAGCATTGGGTTCATGCATCCAGGGCATGTCGGTGATGAAAACCTGAAGAAAAAATTATGAATGTTGACAAGCCTGTTCCCTTGGAGCTAAGAATTCATCGGAGCCTTGTACGTTTTCGTAATGTCCGCAAGCTTCCTCGCGGTTGCCGAAATATCCACACCCATGTCAGAAGGGAGCCTCGTCGTCATGTAGAGATTTTCACCAAACTTGCGCTTCCTTGCCTTCTGAGTTCTGCACTTAGGCATGGTCCAGGTGGCCTAAGAACACACACGTTGCAGCATTCACACGGGGAAGAAATGCAGAACGATGCCTGACGTAGCCCGGCCAAGGTGAACAACAAACATTCCATGAACAACAAACATTCCATCTTGCATCCCCCTTGTGGCTGTTTTTAGACATTTAAAAACAATTTGAAACACAAACTTATATATCATGACATTCTCCTATGTAACAGTCAACATAAAATTTATGAAGTATTTTGAGTATTATTAATATACACGAAAAACACTTAATTTCGAAATCAACACATTGTGGTTTCAGTTTCGGTATACAAGTATGGGGCATAGAAATCTGGCTGTAACTCGCAAGCTAATGAATATAGGAGGATAATTTTTATTGCTACATGTTTTTGAATGTTCGGGTGTTCAGGAAAAACAAAAATAAAAAATATCGCAGAAAAAAATTTTGGCTTTGAACGGTGGCTTACCACCATGGTGATGTGTCATTACAGCCAAGAGGAGATCCGGCGGGAGGCACTCAAGGCACTGTACCCTGCAGCCGAAGCCAGCACGCAGTTCCCACCGTTTACCGACATGTTGCAGCTCGTCCTTAGCAAGGTGGGACTTGTTTTGGGGCAGTGCAGCATGGCTCTTTCAGCCGAACAACAGTTTGCAGGCACTTGTCGCCCAATGGATTATCTACAATAGAGCAAACATGCGCATTGTCTTTGGTGATGCCACACTAAAAAAAGTTCATTTTGGTGCAACTTAAAAGTGCTTCTGTATGTCGACACGGTGGTTATAGTTGCAGAAGGCCTTTTTACTATCATGTTTAATTTTTTGTAAGGCAGTAGACTATCCGTAAATTTAAATCTTTTAACTGAAATTGTTACCTAGATGCAACCTCTGCTACTAATATGATTCGTGTAGACTGTTTGAAGAACCTTGTGTCTCCTGGCCACAGGAACCATATCTGTGCCTTATTGCACCTTGGACACATGCTCGCCAAGCCCAAAGACTGCACTGCTCACCTGTGAACTGTCAAAGGGGGATAATTTACAAAGTACTATGCGAGTATTGCAACGCTGCTTACATTGGTGAAACAGGCAGCAACAAAGGATAAGTGAGGCTCAAAGAACACTAAGGAGCATCGCTTAAGCCACCCATGTGCGTTCTAAGACAAAGCACATTGAACACTGCTGGACAACATGACATGTCTTTGACTTCAACAATGGGACAACATTGGTGCAGGAGCAAAGGTGGGGTGAAAAAAAGTCCTGAAATCATGGTTTATCCGTCTCAAAAAATTGGTGCGCAACAGAAACTGCCGTTTCCTACCAGAGAGAGAGAGAGAGAGAGAGAAATGAAGAGGAAAGGCAGTGAGGTTAAGCAAGCTTCGGCTCAGTTGGCTACTTGGGGTGGGGAAAAGGAGAAATAATAGAAAGTAAAAAGAGAAAAAAAGAGTAAGAAAGAGATCGCTAAATAGTCGGCTCGAGACCACGCAGCATGGTCTCGTGTTGTTCTTTTACAAGCGCTCGGTGAGTCTGGTCTCCTACCAGACATTTATTCGGACATATGGGGCTAGCAGTGGACTGGGCGACTTCCGCTCGTTTAGTTGGATTATACGGAGGAGGCCACCTGCATAGGTGGCACAACATATATTTAGATTTGTTGTATTTTTTTTTTTTTGTTAAGGGGGAACGCGGGTCTTAGAAAAGTAAAAAATGGCCAAAAAATCGATTTTGAGAAAAAGGTATTTTTCGAATCTTTGAACCTATAAACACCTCTCCTCAAATTATTAACGCTAAATTCGATAAAAAAATAGGTTAAAATCTATTTTCCAACCATCACGGGAGTCGCAAAACAACCCGCAAAACAGAAAATTTGTTCGAACTTCCCGCGCGCGCTGCCAGCGAAGCAGCCGGCGGATCGGCGCCATCTTGGGCTTGTTTTGAAGCTGGTTCCTTTGTGCGCGTTTTGCAGGCTCTCATTTTGGCGTAGCTCCAACACAACGACTGCCCTCCCCCGTTTTGCGAAGCCGTCTGCCGGACCGCTGATTGGCTAGAGTGCGCGCGCGCCGGCGAGCCTCCCGTCTCGCGCTTACCATTGACTGGCGCGGCGGCGCGGCCACGGTTGCTCGCTCTTTTTGTTTGTTTGTTTGGTTTTGCTCCGTCGGCACCTGCTCTCGTGCGTGTTATCTCGTCTGCTACCCGCTCGTGTACCGACGTCGCCGACGTATACGTCTTTCTGCATTTCGCCGGCATGGCTTGGGAAGCTCGCCTGAAGAAGAACACTCGTCAAGCTTTCGGCAGGAAACGAAAGCGAGCATGGAATGCGCGGCAGAAGGGAGTGGCCTGCGCGCCGCCGAGAACGCCGGAGATGGCCGAGGCAGCGCATTCTGACGCTGCCTCGGCCATATTAATGAGATATTAATATCTCATTAATATTGTGTTAAAACACGGAAAAACGAGCCCTTAGGTATACACTTCTTTCCCTTATATATATATATATATATATATATAATATATTGTAGCGAAGCCTCCGAACTATGAAATGGGTCGAACTCTTGAGTACCTTCTAGTGGGGCTACCCAACAAGGACGCCGCTCGCCCTGAGGGCCCGTGCTTGGCTGTGACTGTCGCCATTGTGTATTCTCGCTCGTTGCCGGCTAATAAACGCCTTAACAATTTGGTGGAGAGTGCTGCGATCCCTGTGTATGCCTTTGGAGCTACGATCACGTACCCTGCCATCTACTATGTACCAAGACGCTTCTCAGCAAACGCCTCCTCCAATGCCACCCCCTTGTCCCGGTGTCCCTAGAATCCGCGATCCACCCATCTTCACTGGCGCTGATGGCACTGACGTGGAGGACTGGCTCGCCATTTACGACCGCGTGAGGGTCCCCAACAAATGGGACGAGGACGGCAAGCTGACCAACTTGGTGTTTTACCTTGCCGGTGTCGCCAGTTTGTGGTACAACAACCACGCGTCCGATTTTGCCATCTGGTCCGATTTCAAGACCGCAATCGTCAACGTCTTCGGCCGCCCTGCTGTTCGCAAGCTGCAAGCCGAGCAGCGCTTGCGTGAACGTGCTCAGGAGGCTGGTGAGTCATTCACCAGCTATATTGAAGATGTCCTCGACCTATGTAACAAATCCAATCACACCATGTCCGAGTCTGACAAGATCCGAAACATCATGAAAGGCATCGACGATGATGCCTTCACGATGCTGCTCGCCAAATACCCCGGCACGGTGGCTGAGGTCATCACACTGTGCCAGAGCTACGAGGAGCTCCGCCGGCAGCGTTCGATGACCCGACGCTCCCCACCACGAGCTGCAACGCTTGCTGGCTTGGAGGCCAGTTGTGACCAAGTGGCGTTGATGGCAGAACTGAAGTCCTTTATCCGTGAGGAAATCGCGCGTCAGTTCTCCCTCCTGCCCTTTTCCCACCAACCTGCTGTTCAACAATCGGCTACTACCCTTCTCCCTCCCATCCTCCGAGCGATTGAACAGGAAATAGCGGAGGTAATGCCTGCTTACCACCCCCAACAGCCTCCGGCTCCTGCGTCCCTGAGTTGCGCGCAAGTGGTCGCCAGGCCACCCCAAGTCGTTCAAGCACCCGCCCCTCTGACCTACGCTGAAGCTGCTGCACGACCTCCGTCCGTTGCAGCGGGTATGCCCGCTACGTGTGTTGACGTAACCCCTCAGCCTCAGCTTCAGTCCACCATGCAGCCACCGTTCCGTCCATGAGCCCTTGCGACATGGGTGAGACCTACCCTGGTGAACAGATGGCGCACACCCGACAACCGGCCCATCTGCTTTGCCTGCGGTTACGCCGGTCACGTGGCCCGTTATTGCCATCGCGTACAGCCGGCTCCAATTTCTTCACCTGTTGCTGGCCAACTCAGCCGTCCTTATCGCGAAGAACCGCCGTCTATGCCACCTCGATCTCGCCCAGGTCCATCTCGAAGATCACAGTCTCCACGACGCCGTTCCCTGTCTCCCATGCGGCCAAGTGCGGCAGCTCATGAGCGGGAAAACTAGTCGTCGCAGTCCCTGAGGCAAGGACTGCGACGCTATCGCAATGTGAAAGCCCTCAGAGCAGTCCCTCGAATGTCATTGACGTGCTTGTGGACGGTGTTTGTGCATCGGCTCTTATTGACACTGGAGCTGCCGTATCAGTTATGGACGAAAAACTCTGCCACTTACTTCGAAAAGTGACGACGCCACTTTCTGGGTTATCCCTCCGTACTGCAAGTTTGCACCGGATTCATCCTACAGCAGGGTGCACAGCTCGCGTTGTCATCCAGGACGTTCTGTATGTCGCCCAGTTCATCGTCATTCAGGCATGCTCTCATGACGTCATCTTGGGATGGGACTTTCTCTCCCGCCATGACGCTGTCATCCATTGTGCCGCCGCCGAAATTGAGCTCTCACCCTTCTCGCATTTGACGCCAGAAGACAGTCCCCCGACACTGAGCAAGATTCTAACGAAAGACGATACAACAGTGCCTCCAAACTCGACAACGGCTGTGTCTGTCTACTGCGCTGGTCTCTCCGACACCATTGGACTTGTTTCGCCATCTGACCGCGCTTGCAGCAGGAAAGGGTTGCTAGTACCTTTCGCGACCGTGCAGTCAACCAGGGCAACACTGCTATTTTTGTAACCAACCCGTTCCCGTACGCTGTTACCTTGCTTCAAGGGGAATGTCTCGGCAGAGTGGAACCAGTCGACGACGCACAAGTCCTGGACGTACCCGATGACACGCGCGCTCCCAGGTCTTGTACCATCAATGCTGTTTCCACTTCTGATTCGTCGTCTGCTGATGTATTTGGCCCCTCCATCGCTGACAACCTTACGGCCGTACAGCGTTCCCAACTTCTGGACCTGTTACAAGAATATCGTTCTTCTTTCGATGTCGGACGAAGTTCTCTCGGTCGCACGTCCGTTGTTACGCATCGCATCGACACTGGTGCCCATCCACCTTTACGGCAACGTCCATATCGCGTGTCGCCTGCTGAACGTCGAGTAATTAATGATCAGGTTGACGATATGCTCTGACGCGACGTTATTCGGCCCTCCGACAGTCCATGGGCGTCTCCTGTTGTTCTTGTTGCGAAGAAAGACGGTTCTGTGCGGTTCTGTGTGGACTACAGACGGCTCAATAGGATCACTCGCAGGGATGTTTATCCACTGCCACGCATCGATGACGCGATTGACAGCCTTCATGGAGCCGATTTTTTTTCTTCTCTCGATCTGCGCTCGGGGTACTGGCAAGTACCCATGGCTGACGACGCTCGACCAAAGACCGCTTTCGTCACGCCAGACGGCTTGTACGAGTTTAACGTCATGCCGTTTGGTCTATGTAATGCACCTGCGACCTTTGAGCGCATGATGGACACCGTTTTGCGCAACTTGAAATGGTACACGTGCTTGTGTTACCTCGACGATGTCATTGTCTTTGCTCCGGATTTCTCCACGCATCCCCAACGTCTGAAAGAAGTTTTCGCACGTGTGAGCAATGCCGGCTTACAACTAAATCTGAAAAAGTGCCGCTTTGCAGCACGGCAACTCACTATACTGGGGTACGTCGTGTCCAAAGACGGCATTCTTCCT